TTAAAAACAAAGTGGGAAATGTTCTGTCAATTATCATAATATTATAATAATCAACCCCTAAAACCCCTCGAGGACTTGCAGCTCCGTGAAGAAAACACTCACTTCGTTCGAGCTTTTCAGTGATAAGCTAACCGTGTTACACCGTGACGTGTCACTATTATATATACTTTCGTAGCTAGTACCTATGGTTATTGCTTCTTCAGACCTTTTTGCATTTAAAAGTTTGAGTACCATGTCAATATTACATAATCAAAACATAACATCACAATGTAAATGCGACAAGAATTGTTTTATTAAAGATTAAATCGAGATATATTAAAAGTTAAGTTTACTCTATAATATTATAATATAAAAAAAAATGCTCATAATTTCTACTGACACTAGATGATAAAGTTTTCATTATGTTTGGTTAGCGTTGAACCACGTTAGACCTGGATACCCGGTGTTGTATAGTATAAATCAGTAAACGGTCATTATATTCGAGAACCATAAAAGTGTGTCACTGTGTCATATTATTTTGATACGGTACCTGCACGTCATATAGTACCTATTGTATACCCTTAAATCTTAAAATCTACTGTATAAATTATACTTCGCGGTTTTAAAACAAGTAGGTATTAAAAAGCGGTGTAATTTCCAACTAATAACAATCAAACATATTATACTCGTCGAATGCAGACAAACGGAAGCCATCAAAACTAAATACAACATTTCAGATTTTCTGTAGTGTCAACCCGTAAGTCCGAACGTATATCAACCATTAACCAGACACTTAGCTTCGTGAAAAAGATATAAATCGTAAATGTATTGTAGACAATTAAAAATTAAAATATACGTATGTAAAAATAATAATAATTATTGCAAAACTAATATTATATATCTATAAAAAAATATGTCAATTATCAGCCAATGGCCATTACTGTCGAGGCTTATTTCTAATAAATACAAATCCGCTTTACTTAATATAAGTAATAATATACGTAATACGAACGAGTGAAATTTTTTCGACAATAAATCACTTGCACTTATTTTTAGTTATTAATATTACGTTTGTTCCTATGCACTTTCTAAATGACGTTAATATCAAGATTTAGGCACGAAAAAACCCGGGATACTTTTCTGGGTTAAGCTCAATCATTATTTTGAAAATTCCCATAAAAACACGAGCTGCTTTTCTGGGAGAAATAGAAATTCACTCTATTTTATTTTTGAGAGGTGTTAATTTTCAGAAAATTGTACCTTATAAGTATTATTTATTTTTCCAATTAATCTTTGGTTAGAAAAAATGTAATATTTTTTTATTCAGATAGGTACAAGTAAATGTATAAAATTAAAAAAATTACCCACAAATTGTCAATACTAATGTTCATGATTTTATTTATTTTGAATAAGGTTGGGTAACTGTAAATAACTGAATAATCCAAACTAAAATATTAACAACGGCAGTTTCGGTGTGGAGATATAGCGATAAGGAAAAAATGAAAAATTACTAAAGCTAATCCATGAAAAAAATTTCTGGTTTTTTTTGTTGGTTTTTTTCATATAAAACCACCTATTATTACTTTTACAATAAAACCCATTATGTTTTTGTGGTCTTTTGGGGTTTTATTGGAAAACACCAGAAAAACCCAACATGGTTAGGTTTATACGGAGATTGGAAGGGCTTTACAGTTTACACACTTTCTGTGGTTGTCACCAATCTTCATATTATCTATACAATCAAATATGAAATAGAACCATAATAGGACAACATGTCTCTTTTGCATAAATTAACACTCGATATAGAGGGTGTTTAAAGTTTTTAAACACATCTCATCCCATGAACACTTCCTTAGCTACACCACTATCTCTATGACCTTATATTATAGTCTGCTATTTTACTACACGGTTTATGTGTTTGCGAAGGATCGGATGGTTCCATATCGGGATCGAGATGTCTCGCATCGATACTAAGAAAAAATACCGAATCACAATAATTAATGAAGCCTGCCCGAAGTCTTATTGCACAAGTACCTCGTATTAATGATGTAATAATATGCGTCGAGTGGTGGCCTCGGGTCGTCGTTTTTGTTCCGAAAGGATTTCCGAGGGATTTACACGACGTAGTATAATAATAATATAATATGCGACGTGGCAAATTAGCTGTGCTCGGTCGTTCTTGCGACAAACGGTCATCCGTTTAAATGCGTCAACTCGAATTATCCTGCTCGTATAACGACGTAGGTGCGGTTTTTCGTCAAGGGAGCTTGTCCGGCCACCCCCCCCCCCTCCCCCAGAGAGTTATCTTTCCTTATACTTATACAATGTTATACAGGGTGTTTCATATCAAGAATTACGCCCTAGCACGTGACTCGTGGGTCTTGCCGGTCTTGACGACCTCACAACCATCAGTGTGTTTGTGTGTGTGTGTGTGTGTGTGTGTGTGTGTGTGACGTTCTTTATGGCCAACCAGGGTTGAAATTTAAGGTGAACACTCTGTATCATATGCGATACAGTGAGCCGTAAATATTGCTCGTCCACCGCTGCGACCGTTGCGCATTGCCCGACTACACTTTATATCATTACGCGATAGACCGTTAAACACGACCTATCCTATATACTAACCTTAACATATTATTACTATTACATGTGTAGGCACCTGACCTATAACCCACTCGTTGACCAATTGCACCTCGCGTCACTGCAGCAGGTTCGTCCTTGTCATTAACACATCACCACCGCAGTCGTATATGTATATATTGCATTGTATTCTCGTCCTTTTGTGTACCTACCTGACGTCTGTGAACACGGCGGCAGTGTAATAATAATCCTTTGCCACCGCTCTTCCCGGTTAGGTTGTCGGAAGCGGAGGGAACCACCGCCGCACACCCATCCGACGACCTGACGACGATTATGAATGAACGGGCCTGGGCGTGACCGCCGCGAACCCTTTTGTTGATGCACCGCCACTGTTTATATAATAAATAAAATATGCTCCCGCCAGATGTAAGACACACGCATTAATCAACGGTATAATATTTATTATGAGAGTATTATTATTATTATCATTATTGCTATTGTATTATTATCATCATCGTCGTCTCCGTCGTTATTATCGTTATTCAGGTATTATTATTATTATATTGCTGCTGTCTAGTTATTGTGACCGACGCCGTTATACGGCATGGAAACGGTGGAAAAAAACTGTTTGATGGATTAATGGGAGGGAGAGGAGGTGGTAGAGAAGAAATGATTAGACCGTTGCGAAAAGTATACGTAGTATAATCATCCCCGAGGATATGATTATATGAATAGAAACGGCGCAATATTATACAAAATTATTATTTTAATTTACATAAAGTGAAATCGTATTTTGTTAATATAAAACAAAAACTGAATTTCATTGCGTTATTGTATTCTTATATATGAAAAAAAGTACGCGCTGAACGTTTCTACAGTGCAATCACTGATTATAATTGCATATAGGCTACAAAGTGTGCATGGAGGTTATGTAACAATGACGGTACCCATTAGAAAATAAGACACTGTAAAACGTATACTTCAATCGTCGGTATATTATTATGTTAGCGCATGCATAAAATAATTTAGTAGCACGTCAAATAGAGCAACTGTAGAAAAAAGTTTAAAAAAATAATAATTCTTTTATATGCCTATGATTACAGTATTATATTACAATGAATATCATACAAGACGTGTTACTCTCTCGTGGGAGAGTTGTTATAAAGTTACGTTTCAATATTAATTCGAATCTCCTAAAATAAATATTAAACAGCATAAGCTTACATTTTAGTGAGTTTTAGAGCACATAAAAAGATAAGCAGTTACCTATATGAAAAAATGTATTCTTTTTTCATGTGAAGTAACTATCAAAAACCCTAAAATGGTGCATGTTATACATATTTAAATGATTTTCTAAACATTAGGTATTTAGGTATGATAATAGAAAATGCTATGAAAGATTAAAAAGAGCACAGCATGTGTTAACGAAAATTCCTAGGTCAATTTCTTGAACATTTATCTTCATAGTATAACCATAAACAATTTAACAGATTATGTTCCAGAAACGCGTATTTTTATACGATTACAGATTAAATTGTTGTTATATTACATTCATTTACACAATAATTACATTATTAAATATACATACCTACATTATCTTAAAAATTACAGGCCATTTGACAGTGCCTAATTTATATAAGATGGCATTAGTTAAAACAAGAACACATAATAAAACTAAAAAGTTTCAGCTATTTCCAATAAATAATGTGATTATATTTATTAGACTTTTATAAATATTCTGAAAGAGATCACTTTATAGTAGTTTTAAATATGTTTTTTTTAAATATTTTATTAATATTAGAGACTTTCGTAAAGTTAATAACATGCTATTTTTAGATAGTATATATTAGGTAAAAAAATAATAAAATGGGGGTTTATGAACATGATATAATTATTTTAGTTTCGTTTTTGATAATACTTATAAAAACATAATAATTCGTCTTTCTAATAATAATCATACATATTGGGTCATTTTTGTAAATACATATATATTTTTTTAAAGTACCTATATTTTATCAATGGGTATTTTGATCAATGGGTAATGGATTAAATAATTAAAGTATGATAGTTATAGGTAATATTACCATAATAATAATAATAATAATAATAATAATAATAACCATGTAGTATAGAGCATAGACTATAGGGTGAATAGTATTCCTGGAATGGGATAAATAATAAATATATTTTTTTTTTATTAAAGAAAAAAGCCTCGATGACGTGACCATTGATTTGTTTTAATAATTAATATTATAAATGACATTTACTTAAAATTAATTCTTAATTTATAAAATATAAAAACAAAATTTAATTCTAATTTAGTTAAGATATATGTATTAAACACCATATTAATTATGTAGTTGTAGTAGGTATTATAAAACTGCATAGGTATAAAAATTCATTAAATACAAAATTTAAATACTTACTTAAAAAATATGCCCACAGCGTTACAATATATTCTTATTCTACAACTTTTTAGTAGGTACAAAGTAAAAAATAATTTTGTTTCGGTAGATTAGCATATTTCGCAAATAAAATGTTATTGCTGTAACACAAATCGAAAATCAAAGCTATATTGCTCTTAATAACTTTCTTCAAAAAACTTAATATTGAACATAGCTGTTTGCTTTGAAGGTACCCGCTGTGAAACTTTTGAAGTACATAGTAATAAAATATAATTTGCAGTATTTGGATATTTTATTTGATGGTAAATCGTAGGTCTTATCTATATTTTATTTGGTATTAGTTGAACAGAGGTAATCTACACAATTGATAGGAAATAAAATATTTCACATAAAAAGCATACTTTGAGAATATAAAACATTATTCAAATCGTTGTAAACATGTATTTATTAGGCCTTTATTATAATATTAATTGCAACTAAATCAATAATTTTACTACTTACTCGGTGTCTTAGGTAAGAGCGGAGTTCAGTAAGAAAATAGTTTTTCTATTTTGTATTTATTTAGCTTCTGAAATTAAACCCCCGGGAAAATGACAAAAAAATTTTAATGAAATAAAATAAGCATAATAATTTACGAATAAATTGAAGTCAAAGTGGTAGTTAAAAATACAATATTATTCACGATTAGTTATAGGCAAAACCGTATTGAAAATTATCAATTTGCTGTGGATACATAGTTATATATGAGATATACTGTTTAGGACTTACGTAAATATACATGTATATGTTTACTTTAGGTCAAAATTTACATACATGTATTAAAATGAACGCAACGAAACAGATTTACATTTTTGTGTGCTTTTTCAATTTATATTTAAATTTTAAATTTCTACAGACGTATGATAGGTTGGACCACGTCACACAGTATGTTTCCATATTATTTTACATGATGCGGGAAAATCGATTGAATTATACGATGCAATTCGAATAAAATATTTTTATTTTATTTTGTTTTTGTTTTTTTATTATTGATTTAAAGCCCGGAAACTATGGTCATTAGCTATTTGTTGGAGGGAACGGTTAGTTGAAACACGTATGTATGTGAGCAAGGATTTTGTTGCTAAAAATCCAGGGTGGTCACCCATCCGGGAGCTAGCAACGACGGCCGGTACGTACGCTCAGAGAATTTCTCTAACTAAATACATCATTCAAACGATCGGTAACGATCAAAGTTATGTTTTTGGTAATTCCAACGGTATTCTACATTTATTGGCAATATCCTTCACATATGCCAGAGCCTGCGACTACAGACATTTTAACTAACTAACTCTTCTAATTTTTTTATTAGGTCGAAAATCTCGTGGATTATGGAGGCGTTGTGCTTTGACCCTTGAACCTTTTTTTAACGGTATCGTAGGGGGTTGGAAATACCTTACTTAATGTCATACTTTTAAAATATTAAACATTATTCAAATCGTTGTGAAGATGTATTTATTAGACCTTTATTATAATATTAATTGCTACTAAATCAATAATTATACTACTTACTCAGTGTCTTAGGTAGGGGTTCAGTAAGAAAATAGTTTTTCTATTTTGTATTTATTTAGATTTTGAAGTTAAACCCCTGGGAAAATGACAAAAAAATTAAAATGAAATAAAATAAGTATAACAATTTACGAATAAATTGAAGTCAAAGTGGTAGTTAAAAATACATTAGTAGTATGAAAAGGGGGGTTCTGAATCAAGGCCTTTTTTGGCCCTGGTCACTAGCCCGTTGCCCGATCCAATGAGTGAGTGACGTATATTTACTCCCTCACCTCACCCACCCCTACAAACCTAACCACCCAACGCCGAGTTATCAGTTACCTAATGAACATATATTTTTTCGCGCCTGCTCATAGGAAAACGCAATATATATATATAGTTCTTACGTCCCCGAAAATTGCACGACGGCGTACGTTTCCCGCGCTCGATGACATTCAAGGACAACTGGACAAGTCGCATCTTAATAGGCACATGAAAAATGCACATGGTACATGTATATTTGTTTTTACAATCTTATTTATTTGTTTTCAATATTCATTTATATAAAATATTTTTTCCAATGTGTCGTTATCTAACGTACCCGCACACCGTCGGTCTGTTGCACCAATTGTTCAACTCGATCAACTCGTTCGACAGAGTGTTATCCAGTTCGTAACGCAAATATTTGTTCCCGGTGTCCCGGCGGGCGGTTCGAAAATGATACCCGAGTACGAAATGTATATGGCAACAATGGAAATATTCGAACGAAATCAGGAATTGCAAGACGCTATTTTATTTTATTTATTAGACCCGAATTAATTAGATTTTTAAAAGACTCGCCAATTTTATTTTATCCATCGTGGATTAATTAGATAATTTTTTTCTTTGTACCTACTAGGATAAGGTTACCTAACATAACCTATATTTATTAGCCATGTCATTCACATCTGCCAGCCTGTGACTACATCCAGTTTTACTTACAAACACTTTCAATTTTTTTATTCGGTCGCGAATCTCGTGGATTATGGAGGCACTGTATTTGGACCCTTGGCCCAAACCCTCCATGTCTGCTAGAAATTTTTCACGGTCTTCAATTTCCAATATCACTGCAAAAATATACGTATTAAAATTTTAGTAATATTATTACTTATTAAATATTTAATAAACATCGGAAAAATGTATAATAAACAATACTAAAATATTATAATCTCACGATTCAATTGATACAATCAATTTTATCGACGAATTGTATCAAATTTTTGCGATATATATATATATGCAGAGTAAAAATGTGAAATGTTTGCCTTTCGTGAGGTATTTGAACTTATTTTAGCGCATCATATAAAAATATAAATACAGAATTGTATGTACAATTTTCAGTGCACGCTTTGTTAAATGTATGTTAAGAGGACGCTACCCATGGGTACTTGTTGTCTTCGTCTTACACACGTACGACATAGAAGTATAGAACATTTTGGTTCACTAGTTTTAATAGTGTGCTGTTAGTTTTGATATTAGAGTGAATTGACCTATTATCAATGTGTTAGGTAAGAACATTAGGTATCTATGTTTAATTGTAGGCAGATTTTTGGATATTTTAATTTTCAAGCAAGATATGAGCATTTTTGATTTGTGTTATTTCACATATTTGTATCTTGCTTGAAAATGTAAATATCGAAAATCCGCTACACTTAAGCATAGATAATGTTCTTACCTAAAAGTTTGATAATACTTAAACTTAAATTCACGCTAACATCAAAACTAACGGCACACTATATTCAAACTAGTGGCCGAAAATTTGTTATGTCGTAAGTTGGTAAGACGGAGACCACAAACGCGTGGGTAGCATCCTCGTAATAATATGTTATAAACTACTAGATTGATTTTGACGAAAATCTCAAAGATTTGTTTTAAACATCAGAGAAGTTTAGAAAGTAAGTAGTTGAAATCACGTTAAAAAATATACCAAGACGTGCTAAATCTAATTCGCGACTTACGGTTGCCCATGCCATATGGGTCAAATTATTTCACAAAGCTATGGATACACCGACGCTAAGTTGTCCGTGAACTGAGGTACACTACAACTGAGAATTTAAAATATACACTTATATATAACGTATTTAGGTACTGTATAGGATTTGTACAAAAAAAAACTGCACACGGGCGAAGCTTGGTTATACTGTTTGTATATTATATAAACTCGATTTCGTGCGGTGTAACGGAGCGAATTGGATTTCAGAATTTTGGACTTATATACAGCTGATCGCCATATAGTCCGAGTAGTCCGGCCATGAAGCCAAACAAGGGAACTTACCGAGTAAACATCGCCAAGATAAAATCAAATTAACTGATATTTATTTTACCGGATAAATGTTTTTTTTTTCTGCTGTTAAAATCCTGTTAACTTTATTTTAAATGTTTCTACTAGCCCGTAAGACATTTTAATTAGGTAGGTATACTACCCTTACATAGGCGTGCCCGAGCTTTTGGTTCCAGGAGGCCAAATAAAAAATTATTAGGACTCACAAGAATTTCGAACGCATTAGGTAGGTACAGCCATTTTTTTTACAATTTTAACAATATTCTTACATTGGAAATTGATCAAAAACTATCTTAATAAAAATAAGTGTATAATACATAGGTATAGGTAAACTTATTTATGTGGAAAACAAAATTATTTAAATTTTCAGTGAACGAATCAAACACAGCCAGTCTCTTTTTGATAAAATAACAAAGTTTTGTGATTTTGTTCATTGGAAATTTTCATTAACGCTAATTTATTTATTATTAGATTTGCACTTTTCGGTTTTTATATTTATAAAGCAGTAGAACTCATTAAAAGTAAAGTTTTGAAAACTAAATACCTTAGGTAATGAAACTATTCACATACAGAATACCACAAACAAAAAAATATCAAAAACTAACCAATCCATTGGGGTCTTTATTTAATAATTAGGGCCTTGGCACCGCCAGTGAGTCCATGTACTTTTATGTTGAGTCTTTACGACTACACGCAACACACACACACTACATTGTATAATATTATAAATACATTTATACATTTATTAAAAGTCTCCCATAAGAGAAAGTTTTGTGATAGGTATACAGTAAAAATGGAAAAAAAACATTCATTTGTACGAACATGTTACAACTATACGATAACAGTTTTTAAAATTAATGAACTGATAATTATGTGTCATACTTTGTCTTAAAAATAAAATAAATATATACATAAAACCTTAACAATTTTTTCTATCAAACTTTTATTGTAAATTTACCGAAATTGCTTTCATTATTTTTAATTCCTAGTCTCTAAATTCGAGTTATTATACTTTCATTTCCAACCGTCGGATCATTTATATAAATATTTTTCGAAACTTTTAAATCGTGAGTATCTCGATATCTTTCTAACCTAACCACCTCATCGATCCTCAAGTACCTATGCCATTGAACGATAACCAATAGCACTGCAATGTTGTATATTTTGTTGATTGCGCATGGTTTTTTTTTACGCCTTAAACGGTTTTAAACAAACCTAGCCTAGCCGGAGAAGACGGCAATACGCATAGGACAAATTAAATCGCTCAAACGCATCCGCGACGCATTAATTTAATATTAAGATGGGTGATATTGGAAAACCTTAATTTAATATTAAGTTACGCGGTATCGGAAAATCGTTGTAATTGAAACACGCGTCCAAAATCGTTTGAAATTCATTACTATACTTACACCGGAATCGAATACGGAACAGCTGCAGTATATAGGTATAATACATTTACGTACTATTCTTCACACTGAACTTATGTACAACACACACGTAAAAAAGGATAGATATATATTAGGTTAGGTACGATTTTGAAAGCTCAAAAAAAAAAAAAAATCGAAAACACAACAATAATTTTAAATCGAAAACGAACGACACGTGTCTGCAGACAAAAACGACAACCGAATCAGGCGTATATTTTAGGTGCAACGGTTACCTAAATAATATTATAATATTATGCAGCACAAGTATATGCTATTCACCCACCAGTCTCACCACCCAAGCTTAAAATATAATAAGCAACACGTCTTGTGCTCGTGAATTGTGATACGCGGAGAGCACAATACATTATTATTATTGCCTACCTATATCGAATAACACACACACAATACCTAGCTATTATATCGTATAGGTGCGACGGTTACCTACACAATGTCATATATTATGCTGCACAAGTTTAGTACTGTTCACCCTCCACCGACATCTGATAATAAGCAACACTTGTGTTCGCGAATATTGTGATACGCGCAAAGCGCAATAAAATATTACGTATTTCGAATAGTAGACATGATATTTTATGATATATTGTATGCAAACCGATTTCGCTGTCGTCCGTATTTCAGTGTTTTTGACGCATCTCTGGCGAGTTTATATTTTTTTTTCAAACTTTATGATTTATATTTTATTTCCTACTGTCGCCTTTAAGTAATTCTATCCACGCGCTGTCTATTATCATCTCTTTCTGCGCGTATTTACACTGTCATTTACAGCCGTTTTTATATTAGTTATTACGTCATGAACGAGTCAATAATATGAAAATCATAATACCTACAGAAACAAAATCGCCAATTATTTTTTAAACTTTCTCTTTTTTATGACATATTATAATATCATATTTAAGTTTAAAACGTTTACGAGTTATAGGGGCTAAATGCCTCACCATTTAACCGCAAGAAATACAAGTTCCAAGTTTTAATAGTCGCTAGATAAATTAATTCTCTATAATATTAAATAATCATACCTATAATTCTAATTAGATACTGTAACGTACACGACGGAAACAATTTTTATTTTTTGAGGAATCTACCTATTTAGTATGTTTACCTTGTCGTTTTATTATTAACTCTTCTTCAATAAATCAGCTCATAAACTCTAACTTTAGTAGTTTAAATTTCAAAAAGTTGTTCGTCCATTAAAAAAGTTCGACGTCTCAAACAGATATAATCGTTTAAGTAAGTGAATAATAATAACTTTAAAACAATTCCTGATTTTAAAAAAAGGTTCGGTTATATGTTCCTGTGTAAAAAAAAACTGCGTAGATCTATCTATTGGAATATACACATCAAAGCGAATAAAGTTCTGATTTAATTCGAAAAGTTCTTAAAATTTTTTTGGCAGCAGATTCAAATCGAAATACGAGAGATGTTCGACTCCTATAGGTAGTAAAGTTCTCATCGGCGGAAAAACGTCGTCTCACACATCAGTCGGTATAAAGTAGACATTAATCAAAGGGCCAATTATCGCGGTACAGATCGTTGTCGACGATCAATTTATATCTCTGCCACCGTATTTTATCATTGAAAAAAAATACTCCGACCGAATACGCTATCGTTTTCGGTCATCGAATCAGCGGTCGTTTAAGATATATGGGTGCAAAAGGCTTAAATATTAAATTCGATTTCAACCTTCGGGTATTGCAGACGTTTTTGAAAATCATATTATATTAATCTTTTTAATCACATTTAGTTTTGAATTTCCCTGATAAATGCTATCATATCCGTCGATTTTATGTGTTTTTTTAAAATATTTTATCTCATCAGTAATGTAAGACGTGTATTTTTAACATAAATATGATAATGAGCTGGATACAAGATTTTGTTTCTGACCGATTTTTCATATGTTTTTTGCTTTCATGGTATTTCTTATTACCTATTAAGAGAATTTTTACGAAATTTATAAAATGTAATTACAAATAAAATAAAGTATAAATAGCTTATTTTAGAATAATTTGATATTTTATTATTAGATAAATTTCAGAATTTATGAATCCTGGATACCAGAAAGCGTTCAAAGATACAAATGATTGAATACAATAGAATGTATATTTTATTTGACCATATTTTTTGATTATTAGTAATTAAATAAAAATATAACCTATAACTCTACTTAATATTGTTTGAACTGTGTCAAAACCACAAAAACATTTTTATGATTCATACATTTTCCCTGAAATTGAAAATATCGAGTCTCGAGAACTAGATTTCTTCCCTCAAGATCATTTTGTTCTAGACTTTTTTTTATTGAAAATATTGCGAGTATAAATGAATGTATATATATAAATAT